CAGCTCGGTCCCTGATGAGCGAATCCGAATCTTGAGCGAGGAGATGTCGATCGAGGAGTCACAGGCTTTCGACTGCGACAGTTTCTCCATACTGGATCAAGAGCGAGTCCAATGGCGGGTCGAGAGCTGAAAAGTAAGAATGCCTCTCATCTGTAAACCCTTCGCCGAAAGAATCACCAAGAATGTCGAACATAGGCTCCGAAATAAACAAACGCCGGAACTCACGGAAGCATCCAACTGTCCCGAAAATCTTCTCGAGGTCGTCTTCCAATCCGTACCACTGGCATAGACTGAGAGGATATCCGATTTTTTTCTGGATTTTCTTCTCCCCTCGTCTGTCTATCCGGTTTCCTCGTCGCTCTTCATTCTTTCGCACTTCCTTTGTGCATTCGACTTGATCTCCTCTCTCCGGTTCTTCGTCGTTCTCCCTTTTCTCCTTCCTCACCTCCCCTTCTGTGGACTTCCCATGCGCCTCCTTTCCTTCCGCTACTTCTCCTTTCACTTCAGCTTCTTTTCCTTTCCCCGCCTCCGCTTCCTTCACTCCTCCCACCTCCGAAACCTTTTCCGCTTTCGCCTCCATTTCTTTCCCTCCTTCCGCTTCTGGAGCCTTTTCTCTTCTTGGCTCTGCGTTCTTGCCATCTTCCTTCACTGCTTCCGTCCCATTCTCCGTCACGGCTCTACCTCCCTGCTTTTCTTCTGTTCGCCCATCTCCTCGCTCTCCTCTCCTGGTCGCCTCGGAACTCGTTGCTGGTATGTCGCGATCTCCGGGCCGAGCAGGATGATAGTTGATCACATAGGGCTCGTCTGTAAAATCGCTCAAGAAATGACTACGATTTCGAGATGCTAGATCTACACGCTGGGATCAGTTTCATCGTACGCCACGAATGGGGCCGGAAATACCAACCGAGGAAGGACACGTCTTCGTAGACGTAACCGAATAATTTCGAGTCATCCCGTTTCAGGTGTTTCACGACAATCGTATCCCCTAGGCACGGGGTTCTGGGCCGTGACGAGGTGTTCCATTCGATGAACAAACCGACGTGAGGGAATGACAGGGAAAGAGCACAGGGCAATGCGCGGAACTCGAACTCAGAGTTCAGATCGAAGGATTCCAATGTATCAACACCGAGGACTTGTTCAGAATCGAGTATGACGCCTGTGAACTCGGAAGCCCATTAGAAAACGTCCCCATGAAGTTACCACCATTGGTTTGGATCGGATACAAATTACAGTGTCTATACCTCGTTGCAAGAAGGAGCCTGCTTTGCTTATAGAGACGGCGCTGAACTTCGACTTCACAGGGATATATCTGCTAGCGTGTTTGGGTACCATACGGCCGAGTAGATGCAGGTCGAGATACCGACAGAGACGAAGTCCGATCTCTAGGGAGTCGACACCGTTCTTCCTGAGGCTGATAACTTCACAAATCTCCTCTTCCGAAACATAGGGGCGCAGGAGCGGTAAACCATTTGGAGATTTGAAGTTCGGATGTTTCGCTGGAAATCGGGCCATAAATTACGCTGGGATAGCTCTTCCACGCAGGGACCAGATACTCGGAGTTCGAAGAAGCCTACCCTGATCACGTAGAGCGACCATCCGCCTCGACAATCCCGATATAATATGATCATCATAGAGGATGCTCTTGATATATGAGCTAAGGCTCAACGAGGGCGTGATGAAAACAGTCGCAACCTCGAGACGACAATAGCTCGCTATATGTACCAAGGGCATCGAGCTTAGACGGAGCAGTACTGTGCCTTCTGGGGTTGAGGTCCACTGCTTGTTCAGAGCATCTGCCGAAGCCTGAGCGCCCACCGAAGACAACGCAGCTTTAGGACCTGTGGGAAAGTTGTACAGCTCGAAGTATCAGCGTCAGAGGAGCTCATCAACCCACAAGCGACGGACGAGTAAACCATGGAAGCACAAAAGCTCCGCATACTTACAGACTACGTATAGGTGGGGTTCCATACGGTCCATGAAATAGAGTTGAGCCTCCGGCAAGGCTCGAACGGGCTCGGGCATCACAACGAGAGCCTTGCCACTCACGCGTTTCAAAGTTTCGCCGGTGTCTTCGTTTAGGATATCAACGAATACGGATCCTGCTGTTTCGCATTCGCATTTTGATAGAATCTTGGCTCGTGTCCTTGAATTGAAATCAGGAACTCTCTCGGAATTTTTCCGCAAAGCTCGGATACAAGATTTCTCCAGGATGCTCGGAATTTGCAGATCAGCTTACCAGACGCCGAGATTGCTCTTGAAACACACTCGTTCGCCCTCATGAAATTTCGGCGGAATCAATGATCCTCTTTCATCGAGTCGCCCTAATGTCTCTTGAATCTTGAGGTGAACATTTCTCTCGATTAAAGCGACAGTCAATGTTGAAAATAATGCACCGAAACGCTGTACGACCACTTCGCACGGGAGTTTCGGAGCTGCAAGGGTACGAATAGATTTGCTGCGAATGGTCCGATGAATAATTCACTAAGTTAGCTTCGAAGGTAGCGTCCACATGGTATTCTACTTTTCGGAAGTCCATCGATCAGTCGCTCAGCCGGAGGGAACCCCGTGGGCTTTGACCAGTAACAACCTGCGCATAAATAACCCAACGGCCGAAGTCGATGAAGTAATAGCCCGGAAGATATCACTCCCGTCATTCGAAAACGCAGATTTCCTGAGATCAGGGCTCAAGTTCAGACGTTGCGTCGTGTTTTTACTCGGGGTGACGCTCGAGGGATCGGAGGTCTCACGGATAAATTTTCGGAATCATTATACGCTATGATATGAACTCAATTGACTGACTTCGTCTGGCGAGCTGATCCAACTGCGACAATCATTCGGAACCAGTTCAGAAGGACACAGTCGCAAGTTTCGTCAAACCGAGAGCGTCGAAGCAATCAATAAAGCATATCGGTGTAGGAGATCTCGATGGACCTCAATAATCCGAGCTAGGAATCAAGAGCATCCTCCGGAATTTGCAGGGGGATGAGAGCCATAAAGTTTAGATCTCACCTTCTCTGCGTCTCATGTTGAACGAACGCTCAGGATGACTCTTGCTGAGCAACTCAATGAAAGGAACGAGAACGTTAAGAAATGTCACATCGTCGTCGGTGAACGAGACGACCCGATTGCGCTGGTTTCATGTTTTTGAAACTCGACTTTGTTTTGTCCGGACGCTCCGCCGTCTGCCGTTGAGAATTCAATGAGAAGAGGAAGAAGTTAGGTAGTATGTATTCTCAGGAGAGTGAGAGAGGGCTTCTCCTCCGCTCTCAAGGAAGAAATACGACGGAGAACTAGTGCTCGATGATGGAATCTAACGGATGAAATTCCCCGAGATTTGTAAAACTGTAAACAATCGAACGTCGAGTCGCCACCGAGTCGCGTTCGAATCAGAAGCAGCTGTCTCTCGGGATTCCGTCATGCGGTGCAGGGGAGGAAATGCGGGAAACATTGCGTCGCGAGTCTCGGCACGGGTCCCGCTGGATTACCTCAAAAATCGGTGGCGTCACCGTTGGAGCTCGGCGCGTTCATGGAACCGAGAGGAACGCTGTATAACGAGGAGGGAGTGCGCAGAAACGGTGCGATTCGAGCGCGATCCGCGTCCTTTGCCCATAATGATGAGAGAAATTCATCGATTCGAGCCCTGTTGGAACGAGCCGTGTCGGCCTAGTACCGCGTTGATCCCATCGGGCCTCACTGAGTGAATGAGTCAGCTTTCAGAACTAAGGTGTCCGAAAGAGGATGGCCGAGCCGGGTCTGCATTTTGTGGAATGCTGAGAAGTCAACCGATCCGGACCAGTTCTCGGTCATGGAGCCCGCGCCTGGAAAAAATGGGGCTCATGACCCGTGAGCTGCATTCCGTGGCCGCTCCCAAACCCTTTCTCTCTGATTCCCGGAGCAAAAGGAACGCATAGGTACTATAAATTATTTGAATCGCAACCCACGACAATCTGCCCGTCCATTCGGCGAATGTGGAAATTTACGCCGATGTGTTCGTGTGATGTTAACATTTGAATAGATGGATCTGAAATCGAGCTCGGAGGGTGTCAGATTTTTTTGGGTGGATGGATGTTCACAAGCAGCGATTCATAACGCACGTATGTATGTGTACTTCGCGATTACTTCTGGATTGGTCCGATACACTCCACTGGATATTTGGTTACCGGTCAACGCGGCTTCTGTCACGAGATGTGCGGCACGCCAGGCTTCCATGACCCTTCCGATGGATGCCGCTGTGGATTCTGCGGTGAATCGTGTGAAGGGGACCACGCCATGGTGTGTCGTGACAGCCGATCCCTGAGGCAGCTGTCGCCCCTCCCAAGCCTACATACCCTCGCAGTGTTCTTACTCATGCACACATTACCTCTCTCTTTCCGATGAGGTTGAATGAATGTAATTTCTCGGTATAATACTTACATACGACAAAACGATCCCGATTGTGAGGTGCCTTGGTCCTAGGAGTTCTGTATTCAGGTCAGAGACCATAGTTAAGTCTCACCGGATCCACGAGACGAGATGACGAGCCGGCCATTGGGAGGCTTGTTCTTCTGTTCCTCCCGCCGCGTCCCATGACTCTGTCTCTATTTTTTGAACCCGTGACGCGATTTCATGATTTAGAGAAGGCATCTGAGTCTCGGTGAGAGCCCGAATGACTCGTCTCCATCATCAATGCTCAAACCAAAATCTAGCATGGCGAAGCAGTCCCGAGCGGCACTCTGGGGGCTTTGGTACGCGGCATCTCGACACTCTGCAGTCAAGAAAGACAGGTTTCCTCGCGCGGAAGTCGCTATCTAATTGGGAGGAGTTTCTTCAGACGAGTAGTTCCACAATTCTTGACGAGCTGCAGGAAAAACTCTTGCGATCTGCGTAATTAGGGAAGAATTCAGGGAAGAAAGTGTACAACAGCTTTGTGCAACCTCTGCCTCCCCAGGCGGGTTTCGGAATCAGAGATACATAAGTATAGTTCATGCACCATCAAGCGAGAACTCATGATGTGTCGGGAGCATACAATCAACTCCCAGCGGAAAGGAGCGCTTTATTTTAATGCAGATGCTGACGAGGTGGATCCTCTGCTTCGGGCTCCGATACTTTTGCACAAATTAGGTCAGCTCCGAAAATTTCCAAGCTCAATGTGAACTCTCGACTCATTCCAACTTCTGAATCTGCCTCCATATTACACTTCGACGCTACTTCATCATATTTCTTCGATCCGGATGGTTTCTCCGAATTCAGCGAGGAGAATTTCGAGCTTGCAGAACCGATCAACTGAAGCATAGCATAAGCATAGGTCAATACAGAGCTTTGTCAGGACGGTCAGATGGTCGGGATTTCCATTTCCATCCTCGGAATCGATACACCACCAATGTGGACTTGTTCGACCATCCTCAAATTAAATAGATCCACATCATTAGCTCACCGAAACTAGGCGCTTTCATTAAGACGGCTTCAAGTTCTTGGCTCAGCCCGTACCACTCCGCTGAAGTCGGTGATTTCTTGCTCTTCGAGTGGGTCTTCGAGGACGGCTGCTGCGCCGGCTTCTTCTCCGCGTATCTTGGACGGTATTCGATGTGGGTTGCGTGATCTAGATCGGTTCCGGAAAATAATTGGAACATGGGAATTACGTTTCTCATCCATCGGGAGAATTGACCTCGCTTCACGAGCGAACGGAGTCCTTACCTTTGCGAATTATCTCATCGTACGAGTGATGCAGCGGATTTATGGCCGAAACGTCCAGCTTGAGATTCGTAACAACGACCGTATCACCCAAGCTCGGCGCCCGAGATCTGACCGTCGTGTCCCAATCAATGTACAGAGCCGTGTATGGGAAAGCTTGGGCCAGACAGGGGGGCAGTGGACGGACTTCAAATCTCCTGCTATCGATCACGTCCAGACTATCGATGCCGAGAACTTGCCCAGTCTCGAGGGTCAGACCTGTGGGATCATGAGGCGTCCTCTCAAGTGACCAATCGAAACGACTTGGTATCATTGTGCATAGGATCGCACGTGAGGTCTGTTTCTTGCTCGGATGACCAAGCAATCATGCGTAGCGGAACCAGCGACCGCTCTGAGCAATTGATACAGCCACCGAGGGGATTAGGTTGACACGATTGCGCAAAAACACCTCGGCCATCACCACGAGCTCTACGCATGAGGTTCGCAGGAATCACTAACCTCTCTGCTTAAAAAAACCGTGGTTACTGAGTGTGATAGCTTTCAAGGGTTTGATATGGAAGAGCTGTGGGAAATGAGCTCTCCTCCCCACCATGCGCCCGAAAATGAGCTCCAAGTCCAGATATCCTTGGAGCTTGAGACCGATCTCAAAAACCCGTGGCCGGTCCGGGTGTTTCCGAAGAGAGACGACCTCACAAATTTCTTCTTGCGATAAGTACGGGACAATGATCGGTGTCGGATGATCTTCGCCCAGGGAGAGTCGAGCTGGAAGGGGGATATGATTCCGATAAGCCCCCAAAGTCTTCAGAGAGCGTGGACCCAGGATACGGGAGCAAGGGAAACACCCACCGAGGTTGTTAACGGAGACATTCTCTACAGGAATGATGATGAAGTCAGGCAAGGATCGCTGGACGTAAGTCCGGACATCGCAGTTTCCGTCTATGGAGAGGCTCGCGACGAAAATCCGAGTCATTCTAGCATAATCCAAGTCATCGGGAGGGTACTCGACACCTTTTAGGTGCGCTCTCTTATGAGTCCAATCCTCATTGAGGGAATTAGCACACGTCTGAGCTGCCACTGCATCTCTTGCATTCTTATGAACTGATGATGGTGCCGGATCGAAATCATTCGAAAGAGAAAAGAAAACGAAAATTATTTCGTGGATCACGAAAACTGGTGAATATAATAATTGTTGTGTCGTCACGCGGATGAAAAGCGCGCACCGATCACCGAGTGGTAGGGTTCCAGGCCTTTGATGAAATACAGGCAGCCCTGACGCTGTTTCTGAACTCGTTCCGGCATAGCCACCAAAGCTCGGCCATTCACACGTTTCAGGACCTCCCTCGTATCATCGAGGATCAGGTCGACGACCGCATCCCCCGTCGGCGACTTCCTATGAACGACCTGAATGCGGGCCCGCGTCCTGCGAAAGAAATTTCACCAAATTACTCGCTAGAGACCATTAGAAATGCGAAGCGTCTCCGTGAATTCCTCCACAACATTTTCGAATTCAGATCGAGAATTATGCCCAAGTCAGATACCAAGAACCGCGACCGTCCTTGAAGCAGACCCTCTCCGACTCGAGGAATTTCGGCGCTTCGAGTTTCAATTCTTTTTCAAGTCTGTCCAACACGTCTTGAATCTCTTTATGAACCCTCTCGTCGAGGAGTACGACCGTGAGGGCAGCGAACGCTGAGCCGAAACGACAGATGACAACGTCTTTCGGGAAATCATCTGCAATACCGCATAAATCTGAATATGTCATCGGATGAGTTCGTTCGGGCGGACTCACGGACAATGAAAATCGCAGAGCCAAAGAGTAGCCCCATCGACGAGTGATCCCCGCCGGAACTCCTCCGAGATCTCGAGAAGGAGCCTCAGCGGTGAAATGATCCGTTTCTCTTCTCGTGGCAACAGGACGCTCAGGTGCGAGAATCCGAAGACGAGGCTCGGCGAATCGTCCTGGTATTCTCATTCATTAGCGAGAAAACTCGGAACCGGGAAGCTCACCTCTCTCGGTCGCCATGGTCGACATCCGAAACTGCTCCACGCGGCGCACTTTCTTCCACAGGAGGCTCCCGAAAACCAGAGAATGAAGTTCAGAGCGAGGGAACAAGAATCACGCGGGCGCATCAGATGAGCGGGAACCGAAATGTTTTCGAAAATATTGTGTTTCAGCAGTCGGCGGCAACGGTCGACAATAGAACGTTGCTCGAAAAACGCGAGGAGTAGCGGCGCGCAGCTCTAAGCGTCATACGCATTCTCGGTGCATGGATAACATCGCCATCGAAAATTCGCTCATCCGGCGAGCATTATGGGAATCGAGCTTGCCTCCCGAGAAGATAGGCGGCGTAATGAAGACAATGCTGAAAACGAGGCTCCGATGTCCCTTCCGAATCCATCATTCGAGGAAAACACTGTCGGCGTCGCGAAGTCTGAACATAGATCCCGACTGAGGTCGAGAAAAGCGGTCAAATTTCGCCAAGGCGATATCGACGGCTCGAGTTTCTTCATTCGAGAACGGATCGCTTTTACAATCAGCTCCTACCTTTTTTGACTGAGGTATCACAGACAAGTGATTATGCAATATCTGATATGGATGGATTTCGGAACATACACGTTTCCCGGGTCACGATTTCGAAATTTCTCGACGAGGCATTCCGCGAATGTGCAGTTCTCTCTGTCGGGATCGACGTGATTCAATGGCAAGAGCGAGCATTGCCTCTGCCAGCATATCCTCGTGGAATCAAGGAAAAGATCGTAGCGGTCCCCGCGCAGCCCCGACCCCCATACAAGTACTCATCCCGTGCGTGATCGGATCCATCGCATTAATACCTGAAGCCTTCCGAAGGGGGGAGGGATCCGTTTTCGAGACTCTGAGGGCTTTTGTCGAGAGACTTCTCCTCGCAAGGGAATTCCTTCAGAGGGGAAGAGTCGTTTGAGGCTCGAGGGAGAATAATTCGGAATCATCGAGGTAGCCTCGGGATATGCTCGGCCTTCTCGCGATTCAGCCTTCGCTGTCTTCAAGCTGTGCACACACGAGTCGGTCTTGAGGCGGTGCTGAAGCAGGTGCTCTCAAGGCAATAATCAAGAGAATCCCTCCGATGGAGCTTCTCCCCTTCATAGTCATTCCGATACCATGCCGAAAAACGTCGTTCTACTGTGCGCTATTTTCGGTACGGATACATTTTAGGAGTTCATCTTTACAGATCTGTGGTATCTCTTGAATGCGTCCACGTCGGATATCCGTCGACGAGGAGATCTCTCGATCGTGTTGTCCCGACGCTTTCCCGGTTTCGCTCTGGGAAACCCGCTTGGATGAACCCCGATCAAGAGAAAACCCGAACGAGATACGGAAAGCTTGCTGGAGTGTTTCCGATCCACTAGACATTTTTCTTCACCCAGGTTTCCTCTCGAGCGCCGAGAGCCAAGGCATGGGGGAAGTTTTGGGAAAAGTCCGGGGAGCCATCTCGAAAGGGCGTGTGGCTGCAGGAATTGCGGCCAAATTCGTTCCATGCTTCAGACTCCTCTCTGAGATCCAAGACAACGTGAGTTATTTCTCAGCTTGATATCTTGAACGAATGCTCCGATCTCGACACTCGGGCAAGCTAAGCTCCTCCTCGAATCTCTCTGGAATTCTATGTCTCCTTGTAGATGAAAAAGGTAACGTACAATTCGAAAGGTCTTCGTATGTGTCTGGAAAAAGCGATCCCCCGAGACGAGGATATCGAGGGGAAAGACAACGTCTACGTCACAAAAGATGAAATGCGCACCAAGGTGAGTATAATTCTCGACAGCTGAGAACATCGTCAGGCTCGAATGCCGAGGAAACGGAGATGTCCTAGTCGTCTCAGAAGAATGCGCTCCACCAGAGCGCTCTGTGGCTCTATCTTATCTTCTTTTCTTATTCAGATCAAAACATGTGTCAGCAGCATGATTGCGGCAGCCAGGGTAAGAGGAGCACCTCTCTCACGATTCGCATGCACACGATGAATACTAGGATGGTGATCAAGTTCGGGACAGAATTCACCACCATCGTGGAATGAGGCCTCCAACGGGGTCGTTCCGAGCTCTGGATGACTATCCGACAATAATCTTGATCTCCATTCTCAAGGGCAAGAATGTTGATGATGACGACGTCCTTGTAGACGTGAAGGATTGTTTCATGGAAGCTGGTCAGTCGCTCAGCGCTCTCTCCGAGGACGGCAAAGATGGCGGAAAGGAGGGTCATTGAATAAATTCTCCGGACCCGTCCATCTGTTTTTTTTGACGTCACCGACTGCGGCTCGGAGCAGCAATCGCTCCGTGGGAGGACTCTCCGTTCTGCCAGCCGAAGCTTATATGACGAGGATCAGGAATGCCGCTAGCGCAGGATGTCCCATAGACTGCCATGCAAGTGGTCCGTGTTCGTGTTTCTAGAATAAAATGGATAATCCTCCCGAAAATACACGATCTCTCGATTCATTGACCACGTGGCAGGCACATGACTTTTCCGATCTAATAAGGAGTGGCCCGTTACCCAACCCGTCGTGATGCGGATCATGCCAATGCTGACTTCCGTATTTGCTCAGTCTCGCGTGCGGGGCATCGTGCTAGCGTGAAATGAGCGGCGAATAAGGGGGTGACAGCCATCAGCTGGCATCGGCCTCAGAGGGGTTCATAGAGCCGAACGACGTTCGGAGCTGGCCATGTCTCAATCGAATTCTCTCAATCAAATTCTCTCAATCAAATTCTCTCAATCAAATTCTCTCAATCAAATTCTCTCAATCAAATTCTCTCAATCAAATTCTCTCAATCAAATTCTCTCAATCGAATTCTCTCATCGATCAGGGAGCATTCGAGCTCCAAATGCGTGGACTTGGTCAATCGTTTCAGTGAGGCGAGGCAGCGAGCGGGCAGCGTAGGTGTGAGAAGCTCATTCTGAAACGAAGGTCGATCGGTAAAGTCAGGATCCATGGCGACGAGAGGTAGCACCAACTTGACAATTTTCTCTGAGGAGGGAAGGGGCTAGGGTCGCGAACAATAGAGGTGCCGCAAGAAATTCGCCACTCCGCTATCATGAAGTCAGCGTTATTCGACGTGCGGTTTATTTCTCCGTACTTTGCTGGGGGTACGATACTCGATGAGGGAATGCTCTGCGGATCAGGGTACATCTCTACCATCGTGTATTGTGTATACGATGGAAGCGTCATATGTGACTCTCGGGTCTCGACGAGTAGACTCCGGTGTGCAATATCCGGGAACTGAGTGCGGAGTTGATCGGAGGTCGCCTTTGGGTCCCAAGGCCCCCTCGATCTCTGGAGCTATACCTAGAGCTAGGGGTCATGGACTCATCATTGGCCATCGGCATAGAGCATTTTGCCACGGGGCTCAAGCATCAGCTCCCGGGACGGAAACGAAACAAGTAAGGGGACCGCCCGATGCGGATCCGGCGACCATCAAAGATCATCAGCATCAGCGTCGTAGGCTCCATCTACTCTCTACGGGATCCCCAGTTTTTCATTCCTGACGTTCTTTTGCAACAGAGATCCCCGTAGAACAACACACATTCCCTAAATTGTATCTCTTCGCATACGTCCTGCGGTCCGGAAGGCAACGCTGTTCTGTACCTCATTGGACCTCGTTTACGGCGTCTGGTGTTGTCAAAATTATTGTCCGCCGGATACACCCTAGTGTCGCTGTCAATACCTTGTGGTCGTCCTGTATTTAGGTAAGGTTTGAGCGTGACATACTCCAGCGACCAGCATCGAAGGTAAGTTCGATTTCCCTCTACTCAGCGTTCTGAGGACGTGGGTGGAAACGTCGCCATATGAATAGCATAGTGCTGAATGAATAGTTCGAGAGCGGTTTAGCCAAGGACCGACTCGACAAAAGGAGAAACACTATTGGAGCGTATGCCAATGTGAAAACACTCTCAATTCGCCAACCTCCATTAAGAAGCGTCGAATTTCAGATGCAATTCATGCTCCTCTTCAGTCGTCAGGGGAAACTCCGACTTCAGAAATGGTAAAAGGAATAGAGTGGCCATTGTTCGAACAAGTTCATCCTAATCTCTGGCAGCAGCTGTCAGACTTTGCTGATTCGACTTCAAAATTTTGATCACCGGTCGTTCCTCAGGTACACCGCTCACCCGGACAAGACGAAAAAGAAAATAACTAGGGAGTTGGTCACGACGATTTTGACTCGGAAACCAAAAATGTGCTCGTTTTTGGAATGGAGGGATCTGAAGGTAGGATGGGTTAGGAAACCCGGAATACGCGTCTGCAGGACATTGGTCCGTCTAGTATCGTGAGCGGGCAGGAGTGGAAATTTCCCGATTCCACCTCATATCCCGAGGCATTGAGGTGGATATGTGAGCTAATTAGTCCGAGTATTCCCTCTAGGTCGTCTACAAGAGGTATGCGTCTCTCTACTTCTGCTGCGCGATAGAGCAGACAGACAATGAGCTCCTGACGTTGGAGATCATTCATCGTTACGTCGAACTTCTGGACAAATATTTTGGCAGCGTGAGTTTTTCCCCTCGCTTTTTTGCGACCCGATGTTCGATCCGGTGGCGAGGAATCGAATCGCTCCGAGACGCGCCGTACCGGCTCGATGATTGGAATAATCTTGGTCGTTGAAATGAGGCTAGGAATCGGCTCTCTCCGTCTTAAAATGACAAACTCTCTCGGCAGGTCTGTGAGCTTGACATAATATTTAATTTCGAGAAAGCTTACTTCATCCTCGATGAACTACTCCTCGGAGGCGAAGTACAAGAAACGTCGAAGAAGACGGTGTTGAAAGCAATAGCGGCGCAAGATCTGTTACAAGAGGTGAGTTGGATATCCTGATAAGCAATGATGCTTCTAACTCGGAACGATCGAAACTTGCTCTGAAATAACTCCTGCCATCATTCAGATCCTGATTGTATGGCTTGTTTCTCGATCGATTCCTGGTTCGGGGATGAAATGTGGTAGCTAGATGACCTCCGTATGAGTACTGTTGCACGACGCATGTGTCGATGTTAGGCAGAAAAACTTTCCGCCGGCTTCCGTGAGCCCTACCGCTTTTTTTTTCGTTTTTATCTCCGCGGAAATCCACTTCGATCATGTGATTTTCCGAGGTTCTGGTCCTGGTGAAGGCTTAACGCTTCAACAACCCAATGGTTCCAAGGTCTTTTGAGTTTATAATGATCCTATGTTTTCCCCGTGTATTCCTGTAGGACGAACAAGTGGAACAAGGTATCCAGGACTAGAAAGGAAACCGCCTGAGAATCATCGTTGAGCGAGTTATGTCAATAAATTATTTTATCCATTGTAAAATCCAGGGAGTTTTTTTCCGTTCTACAACGTTCGTTTTATTGAAATTACACGCTCGCCGCCGACAACATACGATGCGCAGTCCTCATCTCTTTCTCCCAGGTGACGGTAGCTCTTCTTACTTTCTCCTCTCGTTTTTGTTGTCGTCGTTGGTTAGCCTAGTCGCCACCATACCCTATCTACCTCTGTTGAGTGATTGATTGCCGGACACAGAAAAAGTGTGCTCCTACGGAAAGTAAGTTCTCTCGCTGGGAGGTCACTCGCATTCGAGCAACGATTTGGATACATGAGCGTTCTCTCCTGTGGGAAACTCTGATCACTCGTGCTGTGGTACCTCATGGTCGTCATGATTCAGAATGACTTCGTTGATATTATTGAGATGATCCTACAGTCTTACGCAATGTTACATCGGTGCGCTGTTTCTAGGAGGAAACCCCCGCAGGTCTGTTCGACGATCACGGCCTGGGCTGAATGCCTGTATGGACTTCCCTTCGATTTTGTCGCCAACCTCTAGCCGCTGAGTTTTCGTTCGTTCATCCGATGTGTTCATTTCGATTCATTGATTTTTAGTCTTATGGCAGCTAGCTCGTAGTTTAGAAATGTGAACCGAATATCTGATGAGTCATCGTTCGCATATCCCAGAATGCGTGGACTGGTGCCGTATAATAAACTAGGAGTGATAATTTCAGAGCTCGCTGTGGACATTGTCAATCAGAGAAGCTGCTTGTGTATTTTTTCCGGTTCGATTGTTTGGAGCGTCTGAATATGTGTTTGGAAGAATGCGTTGCACGTGCGTGTCAGTACTTCGATGTCTCCCTTTTATTTGGTACTGTGTCGGAATTAGTGTCCTATATTCCTCCAGGATATTCATGAAGCAGCGGGTGGTCTCCTTCCAAGGCTCCTTAGCACGGCGGCTAACGTGGTGAGTCTTCCCGCAGAGCGTCTCTTATCCTTAGATGAATGAGTCTGTGGAAATAGCTCCGACCTAACCCACACGAGATCGATTCTAAACAGGCCTTCCTTCTAGGGATCGTCTACTTCCTCCCTGCCGCCCCTTTCCTCCTCGGCAGCGGGCTCTCTGTTCGTCAGGGACCAGAACTCTGAGCAATCTCAAGATACCACCTGTTGAACAAATGTCCTCATTCCCACCATCACACATGTTCAACACGCAACCCCCACCCATGAATTCCAATTCATCCTAAGCGCAGCACTATCTCGCGTATTATGTCGTCATTGTAATCTTACAGAGACTGCTATTGCACTCGAGCATGAGTCCCACCTACCCAAACATTCCTCGACCTCTGATGGATGGATGAAAGAAAGACATCACTGAGTCGCTTGATAGTGTATAAATCAAAAAATCCATCACAATCACTAGGGAGATCCGATGGTCGTCGACATCGGACTACCCTTTGATCACGGCGATCGGACGGAGCTTGACACATTTCTTTGAGATCTTCGCTGCGTGACAGGTGTCCACGACGTCCGTTACGTTCTTATAGCTCTCCGGGGCCTCTTCCATGACCAGTTTAGGCGATGCGACGCGGATAGAGATGTTCTTCTCCGCCAGCTTCGCAAGGACGTCCGTGTAATCGAGGGCACGTCGAGATTTCGCTCGCGACAGAGCTCGTCCGGCACCATGACACGTGCTGCCGAAGGTATTTTTCATGCCCTCCTCGGTGCCTAGATCGGGGGAGACGGGAAAGAGATTCGGAAATTTGAAAAATTGGAAATTCGCGTCCCGCGGATCCTCTTCAGGACAAACGCTGAGGCAAAACTTCAAATAAATCATTACTGGGATCTTCAAAATTTTAAATTTACTCTTCAGATTTGTTCCCACCTGTTAGCACGTAACTGCATGTTCCCATCGTGCCCCCAATGAGAACGGGCTGGCCTGTCAGTTGATAATCCACCGGTATGAGCGGATGGTGAGGGGGGAAAGCTCTCGTCGAGCCCTTCCGATGCACGAGCAACGTTTTCATTTTGCCATCGACGATGTGCTCCTCGACCTTGGCGATGTTGTGCGATACGTCGTAGATGACCTGCATGTCGAGGTCGTCGGGGGTGCTGTTGAACATTTTACCGAATGCCTGTCTTGTCAGGAAAGTCATGCTGCTGCGGTTTACCCACGCGAAATTCGCGGCTGCTGACATTGATTTCAAGTAATCCTGTCCTGAAACGGTGCAAACGTTCTCAAGGCTCGTCAATTCTTGTTCCGATATGAAGAAGGCGATGCAACTCAGAGCGAGAACGAACTAGAGCATCAAGAGAATTCCTCACCCTCTTGGGAATGTATTCTTGCGCAAGCGAGCTGTCGATCGTTGACCTCGATACGATCCCTCTTCATGGCGCGCTCCATTTCTAGCAGAGCATCTGTGGCTACCTGATGACCGAAACCTCTCGATCCCGAGTGGATCATCACGCAGACCTGTAGAAACAGTGGGCTAGACTCGACCTCTGACTGGCAGTAATTGCTGATCCACTGAACGTCCATCTCGCTGCTTTACCAACCTGGCCGGTGTGCTCGATGCCCATCTTTGAGGCATTTTGTTTGTCGAAAATTTCATCGACAATCTACGAAGGAAATATCCCGTCAAGCGCTGATGAAACCAGAAATCATCATCATCCTTCGTACCCAAGTCCCAATTCGTATGCGAAATACGCACCTGGATTTCCGCGTAATGGTTTCCTGCTCCGAGTGTCCCCAATTGAGGCAGGCCACGTTTTTTCGCTTTGGACGACACCTGAGATGAATGCTCGTGAGAATCGCAGTCGCCTAATCATTACAAATCTTTACTCGGATATATAAGAGGCAGTCCCGACTACTCACCTTCGATGGGTCTGCGTTCAGCATTCTACCGTATTCTTCGCAATGTTCTTTATCTTCAGCCCAGGCGTAACCCTCTCTGAGAGACCAGTCCATCCCCATTTCGAGGGCCTCCTCGAGATCTTTGGCGTTCATGGGGATGATCCCCTTACTACCCACACCCACGGGGATGTGGTCGAACAGAGACTGCGCTAATTGTTCCTGAAATATCGGATGAGCCATCGCTGGAACAGGTTCAGGGACTTCTTTTCTGGGATGGAGCCCGGAGAGAACGTCGACAGGGCGAGCACCAACCTTTACAGGTTGAACGTCTTTCTCGGTTAGGTTCGTTCTCAGGAGACGCACGCCACAGTTTATATCGAAACCGACTCCTCCTGGAGAAACTATAGCCTGGGGGTCGTCCATGTCGAAGGCGGCCATATTCCCTGCAATTCGATGGAGCTCATGCGATTCGAAGCGGGGAAACGGACTCGGGCCCTGTGATGATCGGAAATCGACGTTTCGATTATCAGAACTAACCGATTGCGAACCCATATCCTGAATGAATATCCGGTAGTCCAATGGAGTGTCCTACTATACCAGGCAGGGCCGCTACGTTTGCAATCTGTTTCACTCCTGGTAGGAAGCCCCCGACTCGACCTGCGGTAGAGAGCATTCATATTTTGATTCATTTGAACGCCACGGGTCACGAAGATTTGCGTGAAGCTATCGAGACAATCAAACTACACCCTAGTCCGGCGAGATGAATTTCCGAGCTCGACAGGATTGCTCAGTTCGACGAAGTAACAGCTGATTGCTGTCGTTTATTCATTCACGCAGGCTGACCGCTGCCGAATCATGTCCCGTCAATCACGAGTCCATCTAACGCCGGGTGGCGCAGGAAATAATTCATTGGAACTCAAAGGGCTCGAGCGAATTTCCAGGAGGAGCATGAAGACGCCAAACTCGACTAACCTTTGCAAGATTCGCGGAGCTCATCGAACATCAGTTTCTCAAGATGCTGATTGACGTAGAACCTGCCCTCGACTTTCATGTTATTGACGAAACCTTTCTTGATCTTCCAAGTGACATCATCTAGCTTCTCCAGGTACTTCAGCTCCTCGTCGTAACTCCTACTCATGGTGGGAGAACGCTTTGCTTCCCCACGAAAATATCATATGAGTTGTCGGCGCAGAACCGCGTAGGCAGACGACGACTCCGGGTGGCTCGCTAGCTATAAACAGCCGGGCTCAAGACAACAATTGTACGAATCGAAAAAATGGCGGCAAGACTTCTCCTCTGCCAAATCCGCAATCAGCTTCGATTCGAGCGTATGTATTCTGATTCTGCTGCGCTGTTCGTTCCTTCTGTCTGATACCGGAATGGAGCTGGCCAAGGATGCAAGAGTCCGATCCTGTTTTGGAACGCCGGGACTCGGGATGATACTCCGTCCCGTCCCTGTCTTGACTATTATCATACGGCTCTGAGAGCGGCTCCACTGCCCTGGAATATATGTAGGGCTGTCTCAAATGGACCGAGAAAGTCTCTGACGCGAAGGCTGAACTCGTAAGTGTATTTGACCAGCGCAACCCTTCTCCCCCGATGTCGAACGTTGCTCTCGGCCCTGTCCATATGCACTAAGCTTGTGCGAGGCAGTTCATTATCGGCCAGCGGTACTCACGATTTCGGGCGACAAGGGACCGAGCGAAGCGCGTGATAGGGGAATTTCGCGCGGCTCGGCCTAAATTCTCTCGTATTGGAGATGGCCGCCAGGCAGGCGGATCGCACCGTGCGGGCGCAACAAAGCTGCAAAATTCGATGGGGGATATCACCATCCGTCGGTGAAATATGGTGCCAAGTCGCGCCAGATGATTTAAAATGATCAAAGCTGAGCCTGTCAACTCCTGATGCTTCCGACCGGGATCGAGAGAGAAGCGGACGCAGGAGCAATGTCGTTCTGTGTTGAAGAAACTCGTATAGACTCAAAGGCATAAATCAAAACCTTTGCTAGACCCTCCCTTTGGATCAGGTTGATGGCGATCTAATCTATAGAACGAGGATTAGCGGAGACGAATGAAAAGAATGCAACGAGTCGACTACGATGCAGAACATCGCGATGCATTCCCTAGTGCTCCTCGCGGCAGTTTCCGCGGCTTTCGGTGTGCCCCTCGACGAGCCGAAAAAATTCACGGACTACCGACTCATTTCGGCTGAGGCTATCACGGCCGAGTGCTTTCGAGCGGCCGAAGAGCTCGAGGGTCGGGGTATCGTCGATCTGTGGTCACATGGCGCTCCGGAGAAAGGAACCATCCTATTCTCGGTCGCGCCCGAGAACTATGACGAAGTGAAGAGCACTTTCGCGAGGTTCGGGACCAAGCTGAATATTCTTGAGAGGGATCTCCAGAAGCTCATCGAGAAGGATCAGATAGGATCTACGTACTCGGCCTACGCATCCGACAGACCCTTCAGCTTCAACCAATTTGAAACCTATGAGCAGATCGTCGCTTCCCTCAACTACTACAACAAGAGCAATTTGCTGCCCGTCATAAACGTTTTCAGCATCGGCCAGACGGTCGAGAAACGCGAGATCTACGGCGTTCGCATATCCAATTCGACCGCGAACAAATCAGTGATTTTCATAGAGTGCGGCATTCATGCGAGGGAATGGGCCTCTACATCGACCTGTCTTTTCATCATAGATCGACTGATCAGATTCCCGAAGGTGCACAAGGCTCTCCTCGACAAGTGAGTCTTCGTATTTTGTGGTCCGTTCTGCCCATGCTCGAATTCCCCTTTCGCGATCGGAGAGTATCGGGACCTCTCTCTTTTCCACAGATACGAGTTCCACATTGTGCCGTCCTCGAACCCCGACGGCTACGTTTACACCCACACGAGCAACCGTTTGTGGCGAAAGAACCGATCTCGACAAGCGCGGGGCTGCTTCGGCGTCGACCTCAACCGAAACTTCAGAGCCGGCCCTCACTGTGGAGTCGGGACTAGCCAGGACTCCTGCTCGGACATCTTCTGTGGTACAGCTCCGTTCTCCGAGCCGGAAACTGCGGCGCTCGAGCGTTACATCTCCAAGCTCCATTCGCGAATCGACTACTACGTCTCGTTGCACTCCTTCGGTCTGATGTGGATGTTCCCCTACTCGCACACACACGATAAATGTCCGGATCACGCAGATCTCCTGCGCAGAGCCAAGATCGGCGTAGACCACATTGCGTGAGTTCTCAATCGGCTCTGCGGTCCGAGATCGCCTCCCTCTCTCTCTGCATTGCGTTATTCGGAATAATACTATGCGACTCATATCTTCTTCCTTTGCTTTCAGCAATAACTTCGGCTCGAAGTACGTCTATGGTCCGATCGCAACGACGATTTACGACGTCACGGGGTCCTCGATCGATTGGGCCTACATGACTCAGAACATAACTAAATCTTTTGTTCTGGAACTGCAACCTGGACTGGACTTCCAATGGGGAGGACGCGGCTTCCTTCTTGACAAGAGCCGGATCATACCGACGGGATTAGAAACTCTCGGAGGTCTCAAGGCCATGTGGCTGTCATGAATGGAGACATTGTGAAGTGAAAATCGTGCAATAAAAGGAGAAACGACGATCTTTCTTGTTTTTTGTCGGACCAGAAGTGCGCATGTATCTACTTGTGTATTTGTACCTCAGGAATTATCAGAAGAGAAATTAGATCAGGCATCGTGGGCGAACACTCAAGCTGCGACCAACAGTCCTTCGGCGATTTGAAATCTTCATAACTCAAGGGTCGATGCTTCGCAATCGATTCAAGAGGGTGATTTCGTTTATATGGGCTCCCCATGTTATTTTTATTCGTGGAAATAGCGAGATTACAATTGTTCATCTGAAGTATATACAAAATGCGTCCCTATATTTTCGATTCCTAGATCGTTGAGTTGAGGAAGGATCAGCTCGGCATTGCACTATCAGCTCCTCCGAAGTTCACCCGATCTCCATGAGAAGACCAACTCTCATAATTCATCATTTTTTTATATACAAAGCTGCCGCTGAGGGTCATCTCAGAGAAGAGGAACAAAGTCCCGAGAGCTGTTCGTCATGCCCTCCTTAATTGGCCTCACTCACTCTGGTTGGTGCCCTCGGAATCAGAAACGAAGTCTCCGAAGTGACAACACAAATGTGAACATGACAATCAGTAGAGATGCTCCTATTCTGACATCCGTGGCTGAATTGAAAATGGCCGCTTGGTCCGAGATCTGCGCATATGGGTCGGTACCATCATCGAAATACATCGGACAATCATCGTCTGCCAAAAAGATGAATGGAATGGATTAGACATCCCGTTGTTGTTGACCCCCAGTATGACTTCGAAGCATGACTTCGGTAAGGGTTCAGAACTCACGTTCTCTTTCGTATTCGACCATGTCGAGCGCGACTTGTGCTCCCTCTCGCGAACTTATAGAAACCACGTCCTGCTTCACGTGGCAGAAGGCGCCGACACTCAGAGACATGAGCACTCGATTCAAATCGGCTCGCTGGTAGACCCAGCAGCGGTACTTGCTGTAAGCATCTTCCTCCTCGTACGTTATGAGATAACTTTTCAAGTTCTCTCGCCAGAATCCAATGCATTTCAGCATGTGATCGGGCTCCGAATAGATATCGACCGGTCTACCGAAATGGTCGACTGACACGCAATAATCGGCGTCTATGGCGATGATTCTCTGGTCTCTGTCACAAACCGAGAAATCTGAAGGAATGGAGAGATTGGAGTCAACTTACGGGTTATCGAATTTCTCACACGCCTGCTAAGCTCCAATGATGGCTGTCCGAGTACCTCATTCCAAATTAGCGTGGGACTCCCCGGGGGAAAAAGTCCGTGCTGTACCTGAGATATTCTCCTTGCAGTACGTATTAGGTCGGGGCATCTGAGTTACTCCTCCGCGGATTCTCGTCTCGAATAGGATGTCTCCGGTTTGAATGAATTTAAACTTTCCGGCGACTGGGCATTTGATGCTAACCGGTGTTTTCATCACTAGGATATCGTATCTGCAATGAAAGCATCCGTGATGAGAGTGAGCTCTTCCGTGGACGACAGCCCGGACGCGGGGAGGCCGCCGGAGATATCTGCTTGGACCCACCTCCAGTCCTGCTTCGCCTTGAACATTGTCCACGAGCACACAGTCGAGAAGACAGGATCTCGGAGCTCCTTCCCTTTCCGGTACCGGATCACGGAATGATGTCGGGGAACGAAATCGAAACATACGTAATCTCGAGAGCTGGGAACAGAAAACGTCGTTTCATTGAAGGGGCGGCCGATCAGCGCCGGATACCGCTTGAAAACACATGGATATTTTTGCTCGAAACAATCTCTGGAATGCTTAGGCTTCTTGAGATTTAGCCTGTGCTTCGGGAGCTTGCTTCTAGATCATCTCATGGAGAGAGCCAGGAAGAGCGACCGGCGATCAACGCTCACCATCCGTTAATTCCGTGACGAGCCATCATGTAACGGTTGTTACGTTTTTCCACGCAGACGTAGATCTGCTCTTTGATCCTCCCAGTGTCTGGCTTCCATCTCTCAATCATGTGAGTTCGATTGATGGTAACGTCGGCGTCGAAGTTTGCCGTGTTGATCCACTGACCGGTGAAATTATCCGGCAGCTTGCAGCGAGGCTCCATGATTTCCGTTTTGACTGGGGAATCGAGCGTAAATGGTTGGCAAGCAATATCAGGCGGTGGGAAGATCCGTCGGTTCTGCATGCCGTGCATTCTCCGTTCCGCTCACCCTGTTCCATATGGTATCTCGCGGGAGCGTCTTGGGGATTTTTCAAAACGTTGCATTCCGGGGTGATCGAGGAGCCCAAAAATGTGTCATCGTCTCGGTTGGCGAGGAAGCACCGATACTTCTCATCGATCCGAGACTCTCGCGAGTTCACCACGGCGAAATAGTGGTTCTTCCCAATGTACCAGTCGCCTAAGCATTTGAACTGGACCTCTGGAAAATCAGGAGTTTAGTTGGACAGAGAATTCGTGTACTTGACGTCTCGTGAGGGTTTCAGCTCCGAGTATGCTCGCGAGCCGGAGTCGACAACGATGACTCACCTCCGTCTTGCGTGTCTTCCATGCCTTCGCATTTGCGGTAGTTCACTTGGAACTGCTGATTGTCGATGAAAAATTGACTGCCAGGGACCTGACAGGCAGTGATGTTGGCGTCTGGATGCTTACACTCTCCGAAGAACTTGTAGGTGTTCTTGTAGGCGAATTTCCATACTCCTTCGAGTGAAGATCGACAGTTCTTTGGGGTCGGATTAGTTGCTGAGAACATCGACGCGGTTAATCAAATTTCTAATCTGACATGATATGAGCCCCTACAATTATTCTCAGGGTGCACTCACAAAACAAGGTGACCTGCTCCATGTTGACGTCGAGACCTCTACACACGGTCGAGAAATCAGGACGTTCCGATGGATTTATATTGACGCAAGTCGCTTCGGGGAGCAATGAGTGATGATTAGAAGAAATTCATCGATGGATAGATCGATGGATTCATTGATTGAATAAAGGAATCCTCGGGGATCGGAGTCGGCGCGCTCAACGTGGCTGAACTCACTTGAGATCTTGTCGATGACGTTCAAAGTTCTGACAAACATCCTCGTGCAGTAGTAACATGGTCTGCAGGAAGAAACGTTTTTTCAGTTTCAGCGGACAGCCTGCATGAGACCACCGAGCCTCATACTCCGAGAGAAAGGGCACCGGTAGGGTCAGATAATTGTAAAAAAAATATGCATCAAATACATTTCCGTATCGAGCTGGGAGGTTCTTTCCCCCGGAACTCACACTGGTGTATCCGTCCGTTGGAGAACGAAAGTGAAGTTGTCATTGTTGTAGACCGAGAGGGCGACGCATCTCGTGTCGATGATCAGATTTCGTTGCGTATTCTGATCGTAGGAGTTGAACCTCACGGATTCCTGTAGTCATATATCAAGTCAGTTCCCATCGATCTGGATCTCTTCGGGAATGACTTCTCGTGAGGACTCAGTTGTACGAACCGCTTCGATGGTGGTGAAGGTATCGTCTCCGTGCTCTCTGGAGTACCACTCGCCTCGGAGAGTCAACGAGATATTGCAGCGGGGATCATAGTCGTAACCTCCTCCCAAATAGAGCTGCGCATGGCTTGCGCTCACGACCACTGCAAGCGCGGAAGGAAGAAAACTCGGACTTTCTTATTTTTTGAGAATACAAGCCTCGCAAGGGAAATGCCTCGGCCGAACTGGAGGCATGATAATGGCGAACTTCGCGGGGTTTCCACGCGGTCCCGAAAAATTCGTGCACCTGCCTCCGCGCTGAGAGATGAGTAGGCGCCGGGTGAATTTCACCGGATAGAATGATCGAGTGATGAGGGATTCGGATCGCGGATTACCCCAAGTATGGCCCCCCCGGATATGAATCTCGAATGGATATTTCGGGACTCAGAAGCGCAAGATCGCAGACAGATAGATCCGTCAGGAATTCAATTAGGCAGAAGAATGTCTCATCGGCTAGGAATGTCAAGGGGTTGTTGATTCGATTTCCCTCATTCGAACTCACCGACAAATATGAGAGCCAACTTCTCCATGACCAGGAACGTGTTCTCAGAGCTGCGGAGCGCTCACAGGCTTCTCTCCATGTCAGGTCTGCCCAAAAAATCTATGGAACCCCACCTCGCGATCTGACGGCGTCCGATGGAAACGTCTGACGCTTTTCTCCTCGCTTCTTTGACGCTTCGTTGCCCTGACAACCGGACTCAACACAAAATACCGTTCATCATCTCAACCGGGATTGACTTGAGTAGATTGGAAGCGAAGTCCCAACGATACCGACATGTATTCAGTGATTCCCAAGAGTTCTCCCACGATGTTTTGAGTGCGCGCTCTCCAAGGCAACCTCGAATCATCCGAGAGCCTGCACCCTCATATACCAAACAGGTAGAGATCACAGTCATTCTCGGTCTGGAGCTGTAATTTTGAGCTTTCTGAGCTAGAAACTTTTCTGATATGAGCACAATTCTCTCAGAATCTGGCGTATGATTATGGTTTTCCCCTGAGAGGATTTTCAGCCACGAATCTGTTTTCCTCCTGGAATCTCCCCGATGAATTCGAGATTTCGGTCTGCGTCCGCATACACACAAACACACTCGCAGCAGAACTGCCGGTCATCATCGCCGCCGTTCGGAAGATACTTGGTCTTGGTACAGAGACCAGATATTAAATTTCCGAGACGATAGTTTCTTTGTTCTGCTCGAAAACCCAGTGAAAAGAGAGATATGGGCTCCGAGCGGTACAGCTTCTCCCTGACAACCTTCAGCCCGACGGGTAAACTGGTGCAAATCGAGTACGCGTTGAGCGCTGTGACAGCCGGAGCAGCTTCAGTCGGTATCAAGGCTACGAATGGAGTCGTTTTGGCAACTGAGAAGAAGCAGAAAAGTATCTTGAACGATGAACACTCGACTTTCAAGGTGCGCAGAAAATCCTGAGCTGATAGCAGGGCGGTGATATTCTACAACAATTTCGTATGCCAGCGATGGGGCCGCGGTCCAAACTCCTTTGAGCGGATCCATGCTTTCGGAGTCTCGCCCCGAACCAGGTCCCGGGAGACCCGTGACACGAGCTATAGGGGGTGGTTTCTTCAAAAATTGAGTTTCAGCCAAAGATGTCATCTTCCAGGTTGAGCCGATAACGCAGCACATCGGGATGGTTTACTCAGGTCTGGGTCCTGACTACCGGCTCCTCGTCAAGAGAGCACGGAAGATTGCTCAAAAATACGAGGTCCGGTATGGTGAGCCGATTCCAACGACTCAGTTGGTGCAAAAAGTAGGTCTATGCTCGGATCCAAGCCCGATGAGCTTCGATTTTCTTCATATGACTGCCGTCTGCGACGGAGATATCCATTCGCTCCGCGGGCTCAAATTCGTTACCTCTCCTTCCCAGGTCGCTTACATCATGCAAGAATACACCCAGTCAGGAGGTGTTCGACCCTTCGGAGTCTCCTTGTTGATCTGCGGATGGGACAACGACCGCGGCTACCTGTTCCAAAGTGATCCCAGTGGAGCTTATTATGCGTGGAAGGCCACCGCCATGGGCAAGAACAGCGTAAACGGCAAGACTTTCCTAGAAAAGAAGTAAGTCCCGAGCATCGAACTAGCTTGATCGTGTGAACGCGAGGTTCCCCGAAAAATGATTGGGTGGTAGACTATCGATGAGCTCGAGTAACCGAAGTGGATGAATTTCAGATACAGCGAGACCGTCGAGCTCGAGGACGCTGTTCACACTGCAATCCTGACGCTTAAAGAGGGTTTCGAGGGACAGATGACTCAGGACAATATTGAAATCGGTATCTGTGATGCCAAGGGATTCCGTCGTCTCACGCCCGGTCAAGTCAATGACTACTTGGCAAATATTTCTTGAAAGAGCAGATTGTCATTCCGACTGACTGGGAATAAAGAATTGCTTATTATATCATATATTCATGATGTCTTTCTCGATCGCGCGAGCTCACTGCATATAGAAAACTTATAGCTTGCATACGATTCCTTAGGGAAAGGAGAGCTCTTGAATCTCTGTCTCCCTCCCTGAACAAACGAATACCCCCAATGGGATTGGAGACGCGGCTTGTGCATCCCTGCTCACTGGCCTAATTGCCACTATGCACCCGGGCGCTCATTCGCGCCGAGCACAGGTCCTCTGACTCGTTCTCGACATATCGACCCACAGTACGCAATGTCGAAGCCGCGCCGCGACTCGAAAAAAGGCTCTTTCATTCGAATCCACCCCGGAGTTTTGCCTTCTGGGGGCCGCGCACTGCTTCGAAGAGAGTCGTCCTCTCATTCCACCGAGTTCACATAGCCCCGGCCTCGGTGATGGTACTCGGCACTCCTTCCATAGATAGTCTGTCCGCGCTCCTTAGGCCTCTTTATTTTTTTTGAAGTGATGGTCAAGTTCAGCGGAAAATCCTATCCTTCCAAAATCAGCATGCTGATACACAACTGACGCGTGAATCGAATTTCGTAAGCGCGATAACTCTTTCACTCAACGCGGAACCGACGCGCCAGGCTGTTTTGAAATCAGGCCTCGTATGACGGGTGACGGCTCGCCACCACACCACTCGCGGCAATGGCAGGCAATATGGCGGCTCCCTTGCTTTGAACGTTCGATTGTGCTCGACAGCAGAACTTGCGCTGTGCTGCTGATGTATCGTGCAGAATCTCGCTGCGGTGTTTCATCCAACTTCATTCCAGAAGAATCTGGAAATTGTGCTAGTAGTTTTTACCCGGAATCCGCCAAGACGATCTCAGCTGTAGATGAAATAAGTTCACGGATTCCCGTTATGTTGGACACACGTCTGCGGCCGGGCTCTGCCGAAGCTCAACCGTGAACGTGTCGAGCTCGGAATGCTGTGAAACGTTTGTTCATTCCTCCGCACGAGATCCACCATAGTCCGGAGCTCGAATATGTCGACCCGTCTTCTACTACCGGAGTTCACGCCTGCGACGGCGTCAAGCCCTTCGAGAGACTGGCTGCAGGCCATTCGAATGCCCACCAATTTCCGAATTGGAAACTCGACAGTGCGCTGTCAGACCAACTTCACTCTTGTCATAATGATCTTGGGCATATTCACTCTACTACTGTTTTATACCATGCTTCCGAAAGGGGTTTCATTATTTGACGATCATACGCACTATCTTTCATTGTTGTCGGAACCCTCCGACTACAACTCAACTTATCCTCTAACTCAGCCTGTGGTGAGTGGTTCTTCCGGGATGATCATATCGCACATGTTCATGACGTACATTCATTGCTGGTATCGAGCGCTGTCCGAAAATCCGAGTCAATCGGCAGTGTCCGACATTCGGTCCCGACAATGATGGATTGTTTTCGGAGCAGCAGCAGATTAGCGCTGTCTCGAGAGCCCTGGGTCCGGGCGGACTTCCAATGGAAAGATGTTCCTTCGATTTTCACTCTTCATCCTCCAGATATCGGGACGTAAAACCAAGTACCGTATTGCGGTGGTGGCCGACATGGACAAGGCATCGAAATTGGTGGAGAATACGTGGGTGTCGAAATTCAAAACGGGCTGGTTGATTATGGACCGGCGTTCGCAGATCTTCGAGGTCGAGTGGGACAAACAAGAGACAATTCTTAAGGTACGTATTTTGGCGGATTGGGTACAGGATTGTCGCCTCCTCATCACCCCTTGATCACATTTGATAGGAGAGAAAGTTCCAATACATTCGGTGGAGATTTGCTTCGAGACCCCGCCCTAGGATGGCCTCGACTTACTGTACTCCGATGCGTCGGATGTCACAGCTGCCGAATGTCACGGCTGTCGGCGAACACTGAATTCAAGCTTGCACCTATGGAACTGCTGTCGCTACTATCGTTATGAGCGTTCAATGAGAAGCAAGAAATCGACCGCGAGGCGGCGAAAGCGGTCTCCGGGAGTGAATCGAGCCTCGAATCCCTCGACTTTTAATTACGAACATGTGCTCACAACCGTCAGAGCCCCGATGCATTGATCTCACGCTACGGTCTCTTTTCAGGGGAGTTTGGCGCAGAGCGGTAGAGGCATGGAGCTCTCAGAGTTGGTGGTTTTCGATGGCAAGCTGCTCAGCTTCGATGATCGCACGGGAGTCGTTTATCAGATTGAGGGCGAAAAAGTGCGTTACCAGGATTCTGGGTTACCACAATCGAATTAAAAGAGATCAATCGATACCTTTTCCTTCGATGGTTTGATAATCGTCAGTAAAAAAAAACTCCATCCAAGGTGCTCCCGTGGGTATTCTTAAACGATGGCGACGGTCACGCGACCAAAGGCTTTAAGTCGGAATGGGCAACAGTCAAAGACGGTCTCCTCTACGTTGGAGGTCTAGGTGAGAATTGGACTCTGATTGCGTCGTCGATTGGCTCAAATCTTCGCTCGAATTTACATAAATGAGCGATTGGGAAGAGGAGGAATAGGAGACTCATCCTTACTGTCGATCGATGTTCCAGGGAAAGAATGGACGAACTCGAAGGGCGCAGTTCTATCGTTCGATCCCCAGTGGATAAAGGTTGTCACGCCCGGAGGCCGAGTAGTTCACAGAGACTGGAGAGACAACTATCTGAAACTCTGTTCTGCTGCCAATATCGAACCTCCGGGCTACATGATCCATGAGGCGGTCAACTGGTCACCGGTTCATCAGCAGTGGTTCTTCTTGCCGCGGAGAGCCTCTCACGAATCGTATGACGACGCCAAAGACGAACGCCGTGGGACCAATATATTGCTTCGCGCCTCCCAGGACTTCAAACAAATTTCTCTGCAAAACGTCGGGCCAAAGCTCGAATCTCACGGTTTTTCGTCCTTCAAGTTTGTCCCAGGTGAGTTCAAATAATAATTATAATAATAGTGATAAAAAAGGCATGCTTTCGATGAAATGAGTCAGCGAAATCCCCCAGGAAGTTTGCGTGACGCTCCCTGGGGCAGGATCCGCATTCAAACTTCACACTTTCTTTCCTTTCTTCTTTTAGATACGAGAGATGCGGTCGCTGTAGCGATAAAATCCGAAGAGGTCGATGGACAGGCTGCTTCCTACATTACGGTTTTCAATGTCGCTGACGGGCGCATTCTCTTCCCCGAGAGCAAAATCGGGAACGTCAAATACGAGGGCATTGAATTTATCTAAAGAATCGCCCGGATGCTCATCGCATCGGTCATCCGTGGTCACCGGGCAGGGACTCCGATCCCGAAACCTAGTTAATCAATTGAACTTCTTCTCGATAGAGTAGCTAGTTTTTGAATTATTGTTACCGGAGCTGATTGTATATTCTGTTGATAAATAAAAATGATACGGTAATACCTGCGGTGAGTGTCTGGAACGAATCCACCCAGCCCGTGGGTGGGTTCGAGAGAGTAGACGGGGTCCTGCGCACGTTCATCTGTGATCGACGCTCCGATCCGGATGAGCCCATTTATTTATGTACAGGCACCATTCTGGCGGGGGTTCTCCCGACTCCCATTCACAGTACTTTATACCGTCCTCTATTCATAGGCTGGTACGAATGCTGCAGCTTGACGAGTTCCTCCTTGATTAAACGAACTATCTCAGTCCGGGCTTTCTTCACCGACATCTCATCGTGGGACTCGATAGCGATGAAAAGCTTCCGTTCTCCTTCAGGAACTTCCTTCCCAGGGGGATAGTAAGTGCCTCGAACTGTGAGACCCGCCTCAGAATATTCGGCGATCTGCGCGATCGCCTCTTTCGATGTAACCTGCAAGGAACGCAGCGAGGATAAGATACCGCTGGAGAAAGGTCTGAGCGCTCGGCTCGGAGGCGGAAGGGGAGGGATATTTAGGGCAGAGCTGAATTCCCACGAGGAATTCTGATCCGCTCGAACAGATCCGTGGATCGGACCGCGTTCGGCAGTTGAGGTCTGACCGAAACGACCGTTTCGAAGTCAGAACCACTCCGAGAGCCGGTTCTCAGTTTGAACGGAGGTTACGGCAAGGAAGCCTCAGAGAGGAATTCTCAAGTCGAATTAGGCGACAGTACCTTCCAGCGAGCTTGCTGAGGGAAGTCGTTGATTTCGAGTTCTTCTTCGAATTTGTCGTACGTCTGGTCTCCCGCTAGCAAGGGATCAGGTTCGCCCGAGGGGGTGTAGTTCAGTTTAAGATGCAGTTTCTCAGCCCTGTAATTCAAGAGATTTAGGAAATACAGCAGATAGCAGATCATATTCCACCCTCTCTCCATTTTCGAGCTCTCGAGAAAACACAAGGACTACCCGGGAATTTACCTCTGTTCAGCGATACTCCTCGCGATCTGGGCCGCGATACTGTTCGGCGCGGTAGTCTTCACCGCCTGAGGCTCATCGGTCTTGAGTTCGTTATTGGCGATCTGCTTGTTGATCCTACTTGCCAATAGTTTGGCTTTTTCCAGAGGATCCGCGGGGAGTTCCGATCCCGACGGCTCCGCTGCCTCAGCAGGAGGCGGGGCGGCCGCTGCGGCTGCCGTAGGCGGCGCCTTGGTCTCGACGACCCTCTTCTTCGGCGCCAGCATGGTCTCGATGTCTTGCTCGATCGCGTCTTCGGCGTCGTCTTCGTCCGAGTCGTTGATTCCGAGGATAGCTTTCTGATACTTCTTCTTCTCGCTCGAAAAGTTCGCTTCGGTCTCATCGAACTTGAAACCTTTACCGGAAAAGCCCGAGGAACCTTTGATTTTCTTGCCTTCGGCCTCCATCTTCTCCTTGTAGGTGTTGTAGAGCTTTTGGAGATCTTCGGGGATGGTGGCTTCGGACGCTTCCAGAGCTCTGAGAATATCTACAGAATATCTCTCTTGCTCCGGCGTGATGAAGGTATAGGCGAAACCTTTGTTCCCGGCCCGTCCGGTTCGCCCACACCGGTGAACGTAATCTTCATAGTGATTCGGACAGTCGTAGTTCACCACAAGAATCAATTGTTTCACATCGAGACCCCGGGCGGCCACAGAGGTCGCAACAAGCACATTGAACTTCCCATTTTTGAAATCCACGATCGTCGAGTCTCTGTCGAACTGATCAATGCCCCCGTGAAGAACGCTACAGTTGTAGCTCGCGGTCATGAGGTCTTTGAGGAGCGCGTCCGCATGCTCCTGTTTGTCCACAAATATTATGGCACTCCCCTGCGCACCGTATTTCCCAAGAACTTCGAGCAGCTTCAAGAACTTGTCTTCCTCGCTGACGATCAGTACGTATTGCTCCACCTCCTTGCAAACCACCGAGCGGCCTCCGACGAGGATCTCGATCGGTTTTATTAGAATACGCCTGGCAAGCGCTTCCATTTGCCGAGGGAACGTTGCCGAGAACATAACGGTCTGCCTGTCGGGTCGGACACTGTCAATGATACGCATCACCTGCAACGAGAAAACATCGTGAGTAAGGAACGACGTCAATAACAGCAAATGATGGGCATAACATGGGGCTCACTGTCACAGATCCGGGGCTTAAGAGTTCTTGGAGCTCACCTGAGGCTCGAAGCCCATGTCGAACATCCTATCCGCTTCATCCAAGACTACATATGTACAACGACGCATGTTGGTGACTCTGCCGCTATTGGCTGCGAGCATGTCGATCATCCTACCCGGGGTGCAAATAATTATCTCCGCCCCTCTCTTCAGCTCCGCGATTTGCTCGGAAATACCTGAGGGAAGAAGCGGTGGATCGCGGTGAGCAATCCAGTCCGATAAACAGGCCGTAGGCGGAGCAGCATGTTATCCCCCTTGTTTGTTCTGAAGCGCTTACCCGTTCCGCCGTACACGCACACGACTCTGAGACCGAGAGCTTTGGCGAATTTCCTGCAATCTTTAGTGATCTGCATGGCGAGTTCCCTCGTGGGAGTCAACACAACACCGATGGGTCCATCAGTCGCCTCCAGTGGTGGCTGGTCCATTATGTGACGGAACATTGGGAGGAGGAAAGCGATTGTCTTGCCAGAACCTGGAATGGGGAGTCGTGGACGTCCATGAATAGACATTTATGATCATCCCCCAGTTCGACTGGAAATGAGTCTGTTGGGTCCTTCTAAACAGATGCGGAACTCATTTCCGGTGAACGGAATCATGTATCTTGTAGTCAAGCTGGATGCAGAGAATGACCCACCAGTTTTTGCGATGGCAATCAAGTCTCTACCCGTCATTATAGCGGGGAGAGCCTGGCATTGAATTGGTGTTGGCTTCTCGAAATTCAGTTTCTTCAGAACATCTAGAACTCGCTTGCTGATACCGGCTTGAGGCCAGGTTTTAATCGGTTTTGGGACATTCTTCCCCTTGACCTGAAGATCGGCAAGAACAGACTTTAGACTCCGGCTAAGCCTTTCTCGGAAGCGGTACAATTCTGACGCGGGAGAACGACAGAGAATATTGCTGACATTATGTTCAGAACTTACAGTTATGCCTTCCATTTCGGCACGCAGCGCTTCCACTTCCGCGGGTGTCATCTGAGCCAACTCGGGTACTTCGATGTAGAAGTCTTTCCGGAAAGGTTGAAAAGTTATATCGTCGAAAGTGATCGTCGTCTGCTTCTTGATCTGGGAACACAATAAATAGTTGATAGTGTGGAGACAGTGGGATTGAGGGAATCTGTGCTCTTCCCGGAAAATCTCCAAGCATACGCCGTATAATTTCTTGCATAACCCCCCACTCAGAGGAAATCGCTCACCTTGCCGAGAGTCGCTGATGAATAGGTGTCCATGGCTTGCTGAAGGTCTTCTTCTTCACCCTCGTCCGAATACTCGAGACCGTCCTGATTTTGTTCCATCACTTCACCCTTCGCACCAGCCTTTCCACGGGCTTTCCGGCCGGAACCTTTGACAGTGGTAGACGCGCTCGGCACTGCGGCGACCGCCTTGACCGGCGCGCTCCTAGCTATTGTCCTGACCTGTGATTGAGAAACGTTGATCTTAAAACGTTTGAACCTTTAAAATCGTCATTGAAACGAGATCCCTCCCTCGGACTGCTCGGAGAGCCTGATAGCGGCAAGCATGCCTTGAAAGATCGTTCTCAAGTGGAGGAGATGAAACTCCGGAGGTTCCCACCTGTTTCTTGATTCCCTCCATGAAAGCGTCCAACGGGTCGATCTCGTCGTCGCTGCCCTGCTCCATCTTCTCTTCGGTTGTCTCGTTCTGAGTTTCGGAATTTCCGTTGGTTGCCTCTTTCTTCTCCGAGGTCTTTTCCTCTTCTTCATCCGAGTCGATGAGGGCGAGGCCAGGTGGCGGCTTGTAGGTGCTCGCAGATGGCCTCTTGCTCTGATTCGAGTCAAGGAGATCCTCTTCTTTCTTCCTGAGAACTTTCTTCTCCGCCCTCTCCCGTTCTATTCTCTCCCGGAATTTCTTCATCTCCGAGTCCAATTTCTGCTGCTTCGCATCTGTCAAGCCGAATCGAAAATTATAGTAAGCGGAATTTTGTGATTTTCCAAGTTTTGGCGGACATGGGAGCCACTGCGGAATTGAGGGCAAGTCCAAACACCTCGCTCCTACTGACCCTTGTCCAACGAATTGAATTCCTCCAGAACTGAAACCCCTTCCTTGACGATCGGCATCACGATTGCGGGAGCGAGCATGTCCTTCTTGCGCCTCTCCTTACTCCTCGATCGACTCCGACGCCTTTCCTTGGAACGCTTCCTTTCTCTGGATCGAGACCGACGCCTTTCGCGCGAGCGGTCTCTTCGTCTGGAAGAGATGGCATGCCCTGTAGGAGCTTCCTCCACCGTACAGAAACCGATTGGGAAGGCGTTTCTCTATTCGACACCAACCTGGTTGCACTTCTGGAGCGCGATCTGCGTCGGTCCCGCCTCGCATCTCTGCGTTCCTTACTTCTCGATCTGGATCTCACCCTCCTTTCTCGGGATTTCGACCTCCTCGGACTCCGTGACGCACGTCGCCGCTCCTTCGAACGAGAGCGTGACCTCGCCATGCTGAAAGATAGAGGGTCGAAAAGGTTTCTTATGGCTCATGATCTGCCATGATCTGATGGCATTTCTGATCTGCGTCGAGACAGAAGCTGGCAAGCTCATGTTGCCGACCTATGGCCGAGACGTAGATCAGCTCCTTCGATTGGGAAGATCGAAGTTCCCGCTCGATGAGTTATTTCGACTCATATGTGTAAATTGGAATGCGAGAGGTTTCAAACGAACTCCGCGTAAAGATCACACGTAACGGAAGGAGCTCAATACAATCATGTCATCGAGTGCGAGAAGGACATCTTCCCTGCGCAAACCCTCGACAAAATGAAAAATGTGCGAAGACATACCCTATTCCTTGAACGAACCCTCCGACCCCCACGCGTCGATTGTCAGAGGCTCCCTTAGGATCGTGAAGCGTCTCAGCTCTCCACTAGACTTCACACAGCGCAAAGATATATTCGTGCATGCCAATGGTTTACGTTCACATTTGCTCAAAGATATCGGCGAACGATGGGAGATGATTAGCCGGGCAGCGCTCAGCGTTCCATGTTCTATATCGTAATGGGCTTTGTTGTGATCTGTGTGCTCCCCTCTCCACCGCCCCTGATGCCGGGTGCTGCGCACGATAATCGGCTCGAGCGATTGAGAGGCGTTCCGTCTTGCGCTGGTGAGGAAGCTCTGGAGAGATCACTTTTGCGCTTGTAGCAAGACTGAGAAGGATGGCTCACCTGCGTAAATTACCTCAGAAATCGCCGACCGGTGAGAGAAATGTTGCTGATGATCTGCGCTGGGAACTTGATTTGAGGCGGGCGGTTGCCTTGATCGAGCTCACAGTTGCACATCGAAGACGGAACGGCTAGCGACTCCAACCTCCTCCGGACTTTTGCTTTGATCGCCTTCTGGCATTGCCCACTATCCCACTCCTGCCATTGGATAGCGTACGATTGATGGGGATTGGAAAAGGGCTTGTCCAGGGAGCGTCTTCTGATGAAAATCCTGATATTCAGTCTCATTCTGTCACCCCGAAGAATGTATAGATCTCTGATGGATGAAGATTGGTTACGGGGCGTCTCTCGTCGCCGCACCGAGGAGTTCTTGAACGTGAGAAGGCCATAGTAGAAATCGGGGAAACCGGCTCCGAGCAAGCGTCTCGAGATCCTCGAGCTCAGCAACCCGCGATTCTTCCCCTTGAAAGGAGTTCGAAGGTAAAATCAGGGGCATCGAATCAAGCAGAACTTCGATGGAAAGAAATTCGAAAAAGCACTCACCTTGTTTCTCATATTCCCAAACCCTATCTCGTCTTTTCCGAGCTGGGAACAAAAGGTAGCTATCAGGGCCTATGAGCTGCTCTTCGCTTCCGAGATTCCCGCCGTATATACTCCCGAACATTCGCATACATTCGGGTCGCCCATATACGCGCATGAGCGACTGACGCGTATGAGAGGCTACCTCCACGAGTTGCATTTCTCTTTTTCGTGCCCGCAGGCTCCCAGGGACTCCTCATACGAGAGGCTCGCTGATAAAAGAATTTCGTGTATGTATTCGGACCTATGGTACCGGGCCCCGCCTCTATGGAATCCACGTTCTCTTACGCACGCGTCTGAATTATGTATATTGCGGCATCACTCTTCGACAGGGATGTCGAGGGTAAGAGCTCGATTTGATGGTTGAGCAATATGATGCATGTCTGGAGCGGCGAGTATTTGACTTCATCAGAAGGAAACAGGAGCCAAGATAAAGCCGCAACTAAAGTAAAGGAGTGGAAGTTAAGTGCGGAGACGATGTTCCCGATAGGAATAGTTCTCCCGCTTAGATGTAAGGATATGGATGAGTCTGCAGCCGTAATGGACACTCGCGTAAAAGAGACTTCCTCCGCTGCTACCGACGAGTGACGAGACTATGAGCGGCTCCGACTATATGTCTATTCCAGGATCTCCGGAACGCCGTCTCCTGGAACGTCTCCAAGGAAGCGTGCCATCAACGTACGGTGAATTTCGACTCCCGATTCCGTTCCGATAATAATCGACTTTGAGTAGAGCTTTGATGCGACTCTGGGGAACACAGGACTCTCCTGCGAACAGCCTGCCCCTGGAGCGTTACGAGCCCATTCTCCAGGAACGTGGAAGGAACAGTTCTCTACAAAAATTGCCGGAACGAGTCACTCAACTTCGGGTTTTCATAGCCGACTCGCTCACGCCGCTGCATTCGGTGCTCCTCAAAGTGTCCATTCGCAGTGCACCGCGCCGTATGAAATCCGGATGGACTGTCGATAACGAGGTTCAGAGCCCACGGTCATTCAGGAAAGCCGGTCGAGACATTTTGCTTTCGGTAGGTCGCTTCCACGGATCTAGGATCAGACCCGGATGAGGGCTTCTATTTGAACAAGTGCTCATGAAAAAAACTTTTATTTAGGAAAAAAACTTTCACCAAGGCTTGAACCCGAGCTAGCGCCTCTGGTCCTGTAATGCGGTGGGATCCGAGAGACTCGGTACTGTCGAAACGAGTCGAAGATCAACGGTCACCTATACTACGCGCTGAAACGCGGTCAAGGCCGAATCGGGTCGCCGACAGGCCAAGAACTATCGGAGTTATCGATCCGGGCCTCCGGATCCTATGGCCAGGATGCAGATAACATCAGAGGAGGTCTACAGGCCATCAATCGGTCGGTGATGCAAGGCAGCCCTCTGGATTCCGGGCCCAACGGAGCAGCCAGACTGTTGGCTATCCACATATCACGGGACGACAATTTCGAGACCAGAGTTACGGTAATAGTTCTCACTTATTTTTAGTATTTGTAGCGGATGACGGAGTGATACAGATATTGAGCACATATGTGGGTATGCGCGAGGAGTGAGGAGTGTCTTCAGCGTCTTATACCATGGGACTCGATTGGACGACTAACATGTACTACTACTGTCGTAGTTTGCGTCGTCATCACTGCTGTCATCCGTGAAAAAGTTGAGTTCGTCTCCTGATTCTGAGCTCATATAGTCGACGAGCTGTGCCTTCGGATGGGGACTGAGGTCGTCGATCGATTTTGACCACTTCCGCTTCTTCCGCGAATCAAATGGCGATTTCGTTGAACAAGTATCCATGGCTTCGTCTTCTCCCTCGATGATCGGGACCGCCGCTTGATCGCTCGTATCTTCGAGCCTTTCGATCTTTTTTGCCCCTCCGAGATCTTTCGGTGCAGGCAAGGTCGGGGCCTCTGACCCATCAGTGGCAGGAGCGTTGAACAGCATCGTAGTCGGGTACGACGCACTCGCCGCCTCGGGGGTACATTCCGGTAAGCTCCTCTGCGGTGGTAATATTCCCAAAACACCGAAAGTGCTAGCGATGTTCATTTTAGAATTCATGCTCGGGTTGAGATACTTTCTTCGGAATGAAGCTAGAAAACATCGCACGGGTGTTTTATAAGGCGATGTCTGGGCTGTCCGCATTCCTGATAGCTCTCTCAAAACGATATTGTACAATTTGCGAGCGGCTACCTGCTCCGCATAATCACACCCGCCTCGGCGATTCGGAGTATCCTCTTAATTAGCACCACTCTCACTCTCACTCAGAGAGATCGACAGCCTCCGCATTCGGAGAGCGGGCATCGTATTTCATTTGAGCGTGAATTCCTTCTCACGCCGGCGATCAGCTCGCTTTGAAGATGCGCCTGGGCGTCAGGATGGGGGTCGTTTCGCTCACCTCGGAGAATCCCACGATGTATCTCAAGAATGCCTCGCGCCGATTTCCGACCCCGATGAGTTTCGTCCGCTCGTCTATTGCTTCTGAGTTGGAGGATTTCCGGATTCTCTTGTAATTATCGCACTGGGGTGTTCAAAAATGGCTCGGGCCAGCGGGTCGAAATCGAGTCTCCGATCTCTTATCGTAACTCATCGGTGGATATCGATCCCCATGAGAATGTTCAGCCACGGTGATGGCTTTGGACTCCGGTGCTCTCACCCGCCTGGATGGAATCACCGGGGTTCATCTCGCATCAATCGAGCCATCCGCTTCTCGCCAGGGTTTAAGCTTGACGGCTGGATAGACGTATACACCTGAATTTTGGTCCACGTCCCTCGATCATCCCGAATACGGAGCGGAGCGATTCAGGAGCTGCTATGAATTCTCAGCACAGAGACACCTGACCGGCTCGATGAATGATTTCTCCCATTCTCGGGAGAGTCGAGTCCGAAATTCACTGGCGAACGGGAACTCTGTCCTCGCCGCATCGAATTTTCGATCATAACATCGGGGACTGGCTTCTGATCGGAGCAATCCAGAGAAAGCCATCTGATCTTATGGGCAAAGAACTGCAATACTCGGGAGCGAAGACAAACGAAGTCCTTCATTGGGTTGTGGTTTTCCCAATAGTTGTCAGGTGTTACCAGATCCGTGGCATGTTCTCCGCTCCCGTCCAGCAGCTCACGCCACCGCTGGCACGCTACCGCAGCTCATCTGCAATTATTCCCCGACCTGCTGAGTACAATAGCCTGGTTCTGCTCAGCATTCCTTTCAATCCTGCCTGAACCGCTTCCTTGTTGACCTTTTATTTTCGTGTGCCTTACCTCATGCAGAAGCAAGAGTCCAGCGGCTGGAGGCGGTGATCGAAATTCGTTCGGATGGATTCTCCCTTCCCAGCATGATGCAATTGGACGCGCTTCGGAGCTCGCTGCTGAGCCTCTCTGTAGTACGTACACGTCAAGCACGGGGCTTCTTCTTGTACTGATCACGTCTTGCGGGAAGGGTGCGTGTCTTTTCGTTACTACTCATTGTGGGGAACCGGAGCTCGGGAAAGGAGGAGCGTTGCCTCAGGTCCAGGTCACCGCTGAGTCGCGGCGTCATCCGTGAATGTCTCAAGGCCTTTCGCGTCAGGAATCTGCCGCCGACATGTGATGGCTCCTAGCTCGCTTTGGTTCGCGGGAATCTTGCCCTCCGATTCGAAATAGAGTCACCCAGTCAGAGGCTACTGGTCTGAGGATGTTTGGCGCTTGCGGATCCCATGAGCGAAGGGAGAAGATATTTTGAAAGCCACTTATGATGTTCTGGAAATTTGACTGAATGTTTCCCGAGCCGGGTGTCGCATCGACCTCATTCGCGAAAAGAAGATCCGACTTTTTCACCTACAGCGATGTGCCTCCGCAATTAGCGGGCGACTCTCCGGTATATCGACCCGCTCGATTCGAGTGATGCCCCGCGATTTCGGAGACAATTATTTGAGGATGTCTCCGAATCGCTTCCCTTCGACGCAGAAGTTTGCCAGAAGATGGTTTGCTTTTTCCACCGCGTTCCCTCTAATTGCTCTCGACTGAACAAACGACCAAGTGCGAGCATCTGAATGGAATTACGATGGGCATATTATGCGAGGAGGCGTGCTTGGACGTACACGCCCGACGTCGGTTGGGCTCCGGCAAGCGGAAGCTTCGGAGAGCAGCCACTGAGGAGGTCGCTCTTGTTTGGAGCTTCACACCCAGTTTCCGTGTTTTCTTAATGGAATAATTTCATAGAACGCTTTTTTGGTTCCCCCCTTATCTACGGTATCGCCGTGCATCGAAGGCGGACGTGGGGCTGCGCGAGATTTTCAGAACGTTTGATCTGAAGTTCAAACTCTTCCGTTCATTTCTGCAACGGAAGTCACCTCATCGGAGAAACACATGAGGAAGGAATGTCTGAGGGATGCAATTGTTGACGGATGAAGCGGTCCGAACGATGCATTGGCCGATCCTACTACCGACTTTCCGTATACGCGTATTCTATAACATCGAAAGGATGCGACTCGCACCCGCTCACACTTCCGATTGACTTCGGCTCATCACAGATGCTTTCACCTCGTATTTTCGCCTCGTCCCGTATAATAAGCTCTCTTGGGACCCGTTGGATGCGGAGAGTGCACTAAACATGAGACGTCGAGCATTTTACAAACTCCTACTCGCTAAAATGTGGCCACCGTGCTTTCTGGCTTCCGGTGAGCTCACTGGTAGCTTTCTCAAAGCTGATCCCAACGCTAGCTCTCAACGTTCCTGACGGTGAACGTATTCGCAATGCCGTGATCGGGGGAGGGCTCACGGCAGCAATTTATCATCGGCTCGCCGAGCGATTTGCGGAGGAGCGGAAATTCAGTATTCACCTTTCCGGTCGGACGCGTGCACGAATTCACGAATGAATGACACGTGGTGTGACTTCATTCAATCAATCGCTTTTCCAGTTCAGACAAGCCAACGCTGATTCTCGTCGAGTCGGCAGCAAGCGGCGCATCCCCGGAACTCTGCTTTCGATTATCCGAAATGACGCGTCGAGGGATTGAGCGGATGATGTGCTCCGAGCCTCGACGACGACTAAGCGGTGTTCTGCTCGGACCCCGAAGCCGTCGTCGCCGATCTCGGTGATCCCCCATGTCAGGAAATCGATTGAAGTCAATAGAGAGGATCTCTTCTATCGGTACAATGTTAGCTGACATCTCACTTCGCCATGAGGCGAGATTCGATCATCCTCCGATGTTGACAGATCGTTGGAGCGTCTCTAGTATCGAGGGAGTCTTTCCCGTGAAGTCTCCACGACGACAGATAATGGAGCCCTGTTCGTGATGTCGATCAAGGGTTGAGTTTTCAGACGAGCGTTCCGTCGGTGCAGATGTGCTGGAACAGACCGAATGGTGGGATGAGGGTGGAAAAAGTTCCTTAATTTCCTCGAGGCAGTTTCCATAAGCGTCCCCGCTCTAAGAACTCAACAGATTGTCGGTTATCCGCTCCGTTTGTCAACAAATGTCTCTCGCAGAAGGGCTTTAGGCGAGTTGTGACTTAAAATACTTCTCGTTCGGCGGGTGGTAGTTGGCGCCAGCTGGCCGAGCAGGTGCCTCGACTACGCTCAGTTAGCTCTGGCAGCCTCTGGTGTAGGAGGTACTTAAGTTAGTGTGTGGTGATGTCTGTCTGTCCGTCGTGCAAACTTGGTCGGTAGACTCGCTATCGCAGAGCTGGGATTAGGGGAGCTGACTCCGGAGCGTTTTTTTTCCGAGCTCGAGAGTCCTATTTTCATACACGCTTATTCGGGTCGAATCGAGCCCCCATACTTTCCGAGTCGCAGAACTCCGTCCCGGACAAAAGTGCCCGCTTGTGAAAAAGTAACATCAGGAGCATCGGGTTTGTTCACGCTATGAGTTCCGCTCCGGCGGAAAGCTGTAAAATATATTCGGATAAAAGAATGTGAGGGGAGATATGGTCTCGTCGGTTCCGCGGGGGCCCAGGGACGCTCCTGATGCATGATCTGACTCCTTCGAATTTTCTGCTCCGCGGATGAGTACTGGTCGCTCAGAGCGGTATCTATTCTTTTCTAGCTCGCGCTCATGGATCGAACGGAGGCTCTTCGTTCTCTTCGGGTGATAGGAGGAGTTCCTCCGGACTCCATACATGACAACTGCGCAGACAATCAGAGTCTGGTCGGTTTCCGCAGAACAGCAGTTCACCGGATTCCATAGAGCTCCTGATGTCGTCTCGGTCAAGCTTCTGCTGAGGCGGCGGTCGGTGTTCGGCATCGATGCATGATCATGGGCGAATCGTTGGAAGTCTGTTCCCTTAATAATCTTCCGGACTTAGGAGACTAAGGAGTGGGTCAGTCACCTATGACGACGATACTCGGGGAACTACCCTGGACCTTCGGGGTGCATCCAGAGGCCGGCGCTATGCGAAAACCTCAGCATTGCCTCACTCCTACGAACCTGTGTTCAGCGATACCTCTGCGGGATAAGCCCGTCACAGGTCCCTTCCTAGCACCTCGTTCTTTTTTCAGCGATTCTCGCGGGAATCCTCGCGAGCATGTCGGCGGGAAAATATACTCGGGAAAGTCCCCGGGGAACCCCGAGTTTAGTCAGGAGCCGATGCTTTGAGAGAGCCTCAGCGTCGCCCGACTCTCTCAGCTCCAGAGCGACTACTTCGGTACAGGTCCTTCCTTCCATAATGCCTACTTCATTTTGCCGCGATAAGCTTCAATAGACTCCTCACGGGACGGAGGGATGGATATTATTCAAGTTCATATTCAACTTCGAGCTTTTTCATTTGACCCCATTCTCTTACAATTATTTCGAGACGACAATGAGCTCCTTTTTGTCAAGTTGCTGCGCACCTCGGGGATTTAGTGCCGCGCCGGCTGAACGATCGGGTCTCTCACCTAGAGACCAACGGATAGCGTGAATCAACAAAGGCTCCAAGGAAGTAGCGAGACCGATGCTTAATCAGAATTTTCCCTCGAGCTTGGACGTGTCGACGCTGACAGTGTTTCACCTCTCCCCTTCGAGCCTCGACAAACAGAAAAAGCTACCGCTCTTGAAGTCCGAGGGGGAAACGCGAATTGGGAAATCTCGAGGGCATACTAATCGATACAGGTCATTCCGAATCTCATGGAAAGAGTAACACGCGATTTCTCAGTCAAGAGATTGGAGAATCTTCGCGAGCACGTCGGCGCTGTCGCCCTCGCTCCTCCTGCCTTCACGAATCCGCGGATTCTCTACGGGAGCAGTCATCGCGAGAGGAAGCACGAAGAGGAGGCAGACCACGAACAAGGAAATGGATCGGAAGCACGTCTTGTTTCAATTCCTCCTTTCAAAAGAGGTTCTCGAGCTTCGATGAGCTCCTCCGTCCCCTTACGTATATCAGCTCTCATTTTCCACCCGAACCCTTTTCCTTGAATGAATTCTCAAAATCCTAGGTGATCCTCCGGTGACGGGTCTTCGGAAGAGGCAGGACGGCTGCCAACAGCAAGCTTAATAAAGCCTCCGAAATTGCCAAAACGGCTCAAAACTTCAGGAGAAGAAGAACGAGGTGTGTATGTGTAAGGCATTCCAGACATTCCTACGCCACCCGAATATTGCTCCTTGCAGCGAGGAGTCAGCCTGCTCGCCTGTCTGCTCGCTCGGCCGGCCGAGCACCGGCGTCGGCCCGAGCCCCATACTTCGCTGTGAATACGCTGTCGGCATATTTGCTGGGCTCCCGTTCTCTATGAGTGTCTATCACTCTCCATGTCGCTCCGAAGACGCTCTAGGAATGTTTAGGCGAAATGAATTCCAACCAACATTCGCGGGTAAGAATCAAGCCACCGCCGTCGCCACCACCTACACCACGCACTTTGGCTGCGGCTTTCCGCCTTCCCCTTTGCAGAGCGTGTAAGCGATGCCACTCGCGAATGAGAGACGGCGCGGCGAAGGGAGAAATGACGACGACTTCACGTTCCGGGTTGCTCCACAGCTCGTTCGGCTCCACCTCCGGACGGCAAATATTTGAACTTTTCTCCACTTCCGAAAGCGACTCCAGAGCTGTCGATGATGTTGGCAAAAAAGAGAGTCAGCGATCCCAGCGATAGTGAGCCGTCAGACTATTAGTGGCATTTGATGGAGACGAGTTGCACTGAAAAATTTGTTCAACACCGATATGTTATTGGAATGGTATTGGCTCTGATTGATGGACGGGAAAACTACGTTGCCAGCCGACGCTATTGATTTCACGCTTTGACACGATCGCTGATGATTTATAGACTGGTGTAGGGGGGAGCGCGACCGACCAGAAAAACTAAAGTTTTTCCATCATGGAACGACCCTTCCTCCCGCTGATCCCTGCCAAAAGATCTCGCTCCTCGCAGATTCCGCCTCGATTTGACTGTAGTCCAATCAACTTAGCTACTCCATGCTTACTCTCAAGGAGATTCCTGATTAACGACGAAGAATGCGGCAAAAGGACAAGTAGGGTGTCTCTAATCGAGTGACCACCGTTTCTGCCGTTATCCACTCTTGGGGATTCCGTGAACGAGTTTAAAGGCACGACCTCCGTTGACCACAACTAAAATTGGCAATTCGCGTACCTTCCGGTACAGCGGATGCGGCGGGACGAGCGAGGGGAAATATTCTTGACGTCGCTCTGAGAAGATCAAGCGGTTGACGAAGAGGAGGAGCTTTTTATTAAAATGCTAATTCGTATCTCTTTCGTTTCTCCCTTCGCTCTCACAGCTACTACCGACACAAGGAGCAGCATTCAGTCAGGCAGGCAGGCAGGCAGCCCCCGAGGACTAGAGCAATTGAGTCGGTCGGCCCACTGTCACCACCACTTCTTTTTATGGTAATTCGATTTTTCGAACCCTTTTTTTCGCTTCTGATCCGTTGAGCCTGCTCCGGATACTTGGGAATCTCTGTCTGTCTGGGCATGCCTCCGTTTGGAGAGCTCGGAATGACTCGGGCAACCAGTGAAAGCAAATCATCGACAGTATTGTATAAATAGCGGGGGGAGAAAAGTTCCGCGGGAGGCGTGAGTGGTGGAATGAGGGCGCGATTTAATGGCTCACTCAGCAGTCAATTCTCCGAGTCGCTGAACATGACGAGACTCTAGCACCTCCACCGACTCGTCGCGGCCGCAGCTCCTTCTCGGTAGACGCGCGCCGAGCAGACAACGAATAGGTGATTCGCGAGCGTTGAACGTCGTTATGGGTGGAGACGGCAGTAGTTCTTCCTGCACTGCACCTTCTTTCCCCAGCATCGCTCTCCTCGAGACATGCCGCAGATCTGCGGAGAATCATGGCTGCTAACCTATCCGACAAATCAAATCATTACTCGCTGTTTGTCTCGAGGACCAAGAGCAAATCATGTAACCGAGCAGCACACGACGCCCCGCTAAAGACCATCGAAGACAATGAAACCATCAGGCATGTCTGATCGCACAGTCGGAGCTGGTCCCGATGGTAGTGATCGAAGATGTCGCTCATTTCCCCATGATGTCGGTCTCTTGTTCTGGATTCGCCCGCATAAAAATATACTTCACCCTCTATCGCTACCGCTGTGTGGGATTCAGTCTGAGACTTCGCCGTTCCTTTCAGAAATCACGCTCCAACTGAGATTGCAGACGTCTCCGTTGATTGCTGCCTCTCGCAGCTCGAGCTACGCTGTGGGGAGATCCGAAGTTTCCGAAAGCTCCCAAATGCATGGAATTCCAG